ACAATTATATGATATACATTACCAGTATTGATTTTAAAACACGTATATATGCATCTGAATTATATTTGAGGAATGGGAAAAATACTGGGTGGCTGAAAAGGAAATCAAAATTTAAACAAATGCTAAGGCTCATAAGGCGGTCGGCGTATTAAGTAAACAGTCTAGAGTTAGGTAGGGGCGGGCAAACCAAAAACGTGGTATCATTTCAAGAAGTCACTAACTTGTGGTGTGAGCCATGTGGATGGTAGATGCAGACTACTTTGTTGGAGTCCGTGTGACTATCATAACCAATGGTTGGAGACTGTGTGTGTGTGTGTGTGTGACATGGCTGAGAATCGATTACAATGGTGTCGGTGTATACACTCTCTGTCTTCCCTTAAACTATGAGATTAAAATCGCTTCATATATTTCTTTCGACGAACTGATTCTTCCTTCCTGTACTATATGTTTATATGCAATCTTTGGTTTATATATTACCACTACTGAATTAACTACTTCTATTAATCCGGTGTTCATCTTGTTATGCTAATGAGTGAGGTGTGGCAACTTGGACCGATGCATATATATTCCTGGTCTTACGTTGTAGCTGACTGACTGAAGGTAGGTGTTTCGATGGGAATCCAATAATGATTTATTGGTAGAATTAAATCTACATCTTTTCTCTGAATGTTTCATAGGTAAAATTTGATTTTCGCTTGTTTGATGACATTCTAGGTGGTAATGTATAGGCTAATTTCTTCTACATTTGACTCCAATAAATAGTATCCCGTTAAGTGAGTATTTAATGCAGGCTAAATCTCCTAGTAGGATTATGGATTTACTCGAGATTATTCAAAAGCCTGAACACCAGTTATCGAGATAGTTTATTGTTAAAGATTGGTAAAATCCGCAAGCGCAAAGGAAGCAAGCACACTGTGAAACCAAGAGTGTGTATGTGTGTTAAAAATCCATATATATTTTTGAGTGTCAATCAAGTATGGATAAATTATTGATTGTCTGTGTATTACAACCAATGGGAGAATAGATTGAAAATTGATGTGCAGACATGTGCTCAATTATACTCACACAGAAATTTACATAGTGGATTAAGTGTCTAAATTACAGTGAGCAGATATATAATACAGTAGTTGAATGGGCTTACTACAGTAACTATAAGTGGGATCCGAGACTCATTTATCGGCCTATTTAGAAGTCGTCATTTGGATATACCTGGATTCTAGATGTGCTATTTGAAATCAGTACCCATCTGTCCATTAGGCAATGGGTTAGGGATGTGATGATGAAAAATGGATGTTCGCGGTTTGAATCGGGCCAGTAGATACGAAGAATTTGCCTAATGGGATTGTGACATCTTGTTTTCAAACAACCGTTGTACACGAGTTTCAGGATACTAAGCGAATGAACGGTATAAAAACCCATTCTGGTCACCAAAAATCATGAGACTCCATCTCCTGATGTCTCTCCACCGCCCTTTGGTGATGGTCCCCTAAGACCCATCCTGGCTTAGTTTGCTCAATCAAGTGACATCCCAGTCCATAAACAAACGACAGTAAATACTACTGAAGAAAATAAGAACTATTGTAAATTTGACCCCAAAACATTTATCTCAATAACTTGTATGTAACTCGGTTACAATTATTAAATATCTAAATAATATTTCTCATCTTCCATGAATGTCCTATGAACTAAATATCCAAGAGTGATTATTTTACAAAGCAAATAATCGTGTTTCCTCCTCAGTTCAAAAGTCATTATCACTTACTTACTTACGTTTGTTACTACCAATAGAGAATAGGCCGCCCACCAGCGTTCCCCAATACACTCTGTCCTGGGCCTTCCTTTCTACTTCCATCCAATTGTTGTGCATTCTTCTCATGTCTGTCTCCATTTCTCGGCGTAATGTGTTCTTTGGCCTTCCTCTCCTTCTTTGGCCTTCACGATTCCGAGTGAGGGCTTGCCTTGTGACGTAGTTGGGTACTTTCCTTAGTGTGTGCCCTATCCACTTGCAGTGCTTCTTCTTGATTTCTTCTTCCATTGGAATCTGGTTTGTTCTCCCCCACAGTAGGTTGTTGCTGATAGTGTCTGGCCAACGGATTGGAAGTATTTTGCGTAGACAACTATTATTAAACACTTGTATCATCTGGATGATGGCATTCGTAGTTCTCCAAGTTTCCGTCCAATACAGCAGAACAGTCTTCACATTCGTATTGAAACTTCTGACTTTGGTGTTGGTTGACAGACAGTTGTTTTGAGTTCGAGGTGTTCTTCAGTTGTAGATATGCTGCTCTTGCTTTTCCGATTCGCGCCTTCACATCTGCATCGGTTCCACTGTGTTCATCAATGATGCTGCCCAGATATGTAAAGGTTTTAACTTCTTCCAAAGATTAATCGTCCAGTGTGATTCGATTGGTGCGTGTTGTGTTGTATCGGAGAATCTTACTTTTCCCTTTGTTAACAGTTCTTATAAATTGTTACGTAACATTTATTGATATACATAATTAAATTATTTTTTTAAATTTTAAACAGGCTCCATTTTGTTAAGTGAAATATTTAAATAAATAAGTACAGCACTAAAAGAAAATGAGTTTAATTAATAAAAGTATTGATAATCGATTCATTGAACAGTGAATATGAATTATTATTTTTTATCCTTAGGTAGATTATTCGAGTTATTGCTATGGTGATAAGGACACAAACAAACAAAAATGAAATGAATTTTTAATTCACAGCACAATTTGATAAATGTATAAATAGATGACTAACTGATTGAGTTATATGTATACCGATCAGTTAGTTATAAACAGTGTAAAACTTGAGATATATGTGTATTCGCTCAAGTTGACAAACCTTATCAGCAGAGAAAGATGAAATTAAGAAAATGAATGCCGGAATAACAAAAATAGTAGTAACGATATCGTTGATAGTAATTATATATTTACTTCAACACATGGATATTGATACAAAAGGGGCACTGAATACATATGCGCCAAACAGGTCACTTGATTTGTATGTGGACTGGGATACTGCCTGGGTGCCCAAACCGAACCAGGTGGTTTTCTTAGATAGCCGCACTTAGAGCCTTAGACCTAAAGGTCTAATCCACAAGGCAGTGGAGGAACGTCAGGAGATGCGGTCCTATGGTAGCTGGTGACCAACGATTGGTTCATACACCATCTGTTCCCTTAGGATCCTGAAGCCCATATACACCACTGGTTTGGAATCATGGTTTTCCAACTCCCCTAGGTGGACGCTCTGTGTCCACTAATACCAGAATAATAAAAGTAGCAACAATATTAGCGTTAGTAGAAAACAGTATGGCTAGATAGTATATTTCAAGGAGAAAGAATGAATTCGTTGATCTAAGATAAAACAAGGTATGTATGATTTTTCGTTTTCAAAAGATAAATTAAGAGAAGAATATGCCAACATAAATGTTAATTCTGTTTGAATATTGCACAAGTTAGCTTTGAACTAGATTTTAAGGTTCTTATTCTAAAAGGTAAATGAGTACATGTAGTTAACAAAGATAATTACTTAATTAAAATAAACCTAGAATAAGAAAATTAATGACAATATTTTTAGGGTATTAAAATGTTCAGAACTGGCCTGCGTCAACACCTGAAATAATGATAGGGGTTGAAGTAGTCGAACGCGTTGACAAAGTCACTTCTATTTGAAGTCTGATCAGCTCAAATTGGTTGGTGTCTGACGAAATCTCAGCATGGATTCAAAAAGCTCGTTTGGATTTTGCCAACTTACGTCACCTATGGCGAAGGCGAGATATCCGTCTATCAATTAAGAGACGAGTATACTGCACAGCAGTTCGTTATGTTCTACTTCACGGCTGCAAAACGTGGCCATTAAGAGCAGAAGATACTCGTAAACTACTAGTATTTAATTACAGATGTCTTAGGAATATTGCTTGCATCTGCTGGGATCACCGGGCAAGTAATATTGAGGTTGAACACAGGTTATTAGAGAATGATGGTAAATCAGTTGACGAGGTTGTGAATCTTCATCGACTGAGATGGTTGGGTCACGTGTTGTGCATGCCTGCCTGAACACCGATTACAACGACGCGCAACGCTGATTAGTGTTGGCGATTGTTGGAAGAATGTTAGGGGTGGCCAAACCACAACGTGGTATCATTTCAAGAAGTCACTAACTTGTGGTGTGAGCCATGTGGATGGTGGATGCAGACTGCTGTGTTGGAGTCCGTGTGACTATCATAACCAATGGTTGGAGACTGTGTGTGTGTGTGTGTGTGTGACATGGCTGATAATCGATTACAATGGTGTCGGTGTATACACTCTCTGTCTTCCCTTAAACTATGAGATTAAAATTGCTTCATATCTTTCTCTTATAAATTACCATCATTGAATTGATTACTTCTATGAATCTGGTGCTCATCTTGTTATGCTAATGAGTGAGGTGTGGCAACTTGGACCGATGCATATATGTTCCTGGTCCTACGTTGTTGCTGATTGACTGACTGTGAGTATTAAAATATATGATCTATAAGTGTGAACAAGCTTCTTAGCAGTATTCACATCACTATACTAAAGATATATCTAACAGGTTAGTCATTGCTGCAGCAGAGATTATTTGTATTCCAGATATTTAATACATCACTGGCAACACTATTTGACTTATAATTGACTTAGACTGCCCAAACGAAAATCCCATTCTTATGAACTTTCGTACCCAACAGAAGTTAGAACGGAATACCAACCTGTTAATTTTTCCGCACACACATTTCCATAATCATAAATGAGAGTTCTACATTTTTGTAAATACCTGACAATGTTCTCTTTATTTAAATCCATCACTACATGACTAACCGTCAAAATTATTCTTTGTTAATTCTAGGTGAACGTCAAGCTAGATTGGTACACGCGCCATGATCTTGATGTAACCTTCTCATTCCTAACTGTTTAGGCAGCATACTTCATGTTAAGTATTATTATTAATAAAGACTGATCAATATTCAGCCCTGAATATCATTGAATATACTGCACAAAAGAGCTCTATAAACTTAGATACAACGACTTTTAATTGTCCCCTCATGTTGTAATAGGATAAGAATTAAATTGTTCACGATACTTGATCACCACACTTAATCACAGGATATACACAGTCATTCAAGTATCTGGCCTTCCTATTAAGAATCCAATTAGACTAGATCAAGATTTTATTGACATAAGTACAAAACAGTTAGTAAATGGAATAAAAGTGGAGTGAATTTTACAAGATGAAATAATCTCTTCTATTTTCACTAGCTGGATACTTCCATCTTCAATCCTTGACTAATGACAAATCACTTTAATAAAATAAAATTTAATTAATATAATGTTCATATTCATTGATAAGTATGATTACTTACATGGCGGCATTTTGAATGACAACAATAACCACGAGTTAAATGTTCAATTTCAGTAAAAACTGTATAACCAGTTTTAGGATCTATGTAATATTTATCACCTAACTAGTTTAAATAAGAAAAGAAACTGAATTTAAAATATGTCGAACTGACATTCGGGAACTTTGCTTAATCAAGTGATTTATGGAAATTTGTTGATCAATAGTTGTAGATGTAGTCGGAAAGTAGCCATAGGAAATCGAAATAATCCATAGAGAAGGAAATAAATTAAATAATTTTATAAAGCTTTTTCTTTCTGGAGTTTCGTCGAATTGCTATTATTCAGTATTTATCCTTACAATATAGATGAATACTGAACTCCAGTTCGTGAAGACGTCTACCATAACCGTGGATACAATTCCTAAGGTTCATTAAACGAGTTCATGGAGGCTGAAGCTAATGGAATCAGAGTTCGAGTCTGTACAGCTCCTATTAATTTCAAGTACCGCTGAATTTAACGTGGTACATTATATATACTCCTCATTTTGGAAGAGTTTTCACTCACACAATGTATTCGATTTCAGGCATAAATCATTTTCACAGACAAATATCCCAAGTAAATAATGTACAAGTTCAATAGTAGTATCAGTTTTCGTGCCATTATCTGTCGGTAAACATTCGCATTGATAACTCAGTGTCTGTAACTCTTCAGACAATTAACATAAGAATGGAAGCCTAGTAGAAATCAGAGCAGATTGAGCGACACATTCACCATTGTCTTCAGTGGGTTAATATCTGATAACAGACCCAGTTGAACTCCACTAGTCACTACGTCTCACTAGAACTCCAGGATATACCTCTTGAAGCCCGTTAGTATTGAGCATATGTTAATTCATATCAGATGGGTTTTGTGATATCATAGTAATTTCAATGGTTAAGGTCATGAGTCAATTGAAGCTAGACCACTACGGAAAACCTGGAAGCACCGGGAGGCCGTTTCTTCCTAGTATGGGACTCCTCAGCAGTGCGCATCCACGACGAAAAAAAACCCTTCTGATAATAATAACTATTGTTATTATCATTCAGAATTATTAATGTATTGGTGAATATCTGATCATTTACTGCATGTTTTGCATGTAATATCGAATAACTAAAATATCCCAAAAGATCTTCTAACTTTGATTAATACCGAGTTATTACACTGACGCTATGACTTCAATCCATTGAATATTGATGTAAATTAAGATTAACGAATTCTATTATCAGAAACTAACGTAACGGTTACCAGCAAATGTAGGTGGTGACCAGCGGTGGAATTCAGGATGAGCATCACTTTGTCCAACTTAGGACTCGTTAGCTGAATGTACCTGCATCCAACAAATGATGTTCACTCCTGAACTCGAACCCAGTACCGTTGGCTTCACAAGCCATATGCCATCACGTTATCCACTCAGCTATTGATTTCAGATAGCCTGGAATAGACATCAGCTCTGGGATGCAGGTACATCTAAATGATGAATCTCAGATGGAACGAAGTAGGGTGCGTCCTGGATTTCATTGCTAGCCAACATCCATCTTTTCTTAAAATGCTTGAGATTTAAGGCAATCCTCACAAGATGTGCATATGCCAATAAGAGACTGATCGATTGCAGTCCTAAACATCAATGAGAAAATTCAAACAAACAATACACAAATGGATTATAGCATAACAGTTTCCGAAACTTTTTTTCATAAAATGGTTTTAAAATCATATCATATCGTATTTATAGTTATAACCCCAAAACTTGTTGCTAAGCGTACAGAAAACAATCACAGTTCGTTTAATGTGAACTGTGTGGTTGTTTGGATCTCCTAAAGGGTCTTTAATCAAAGGCCCAGAAGCGCCAAGAAATGTGTTATGCGACCAGAGAAATAAAGAATGATGTGCCACGGTTATAATTGAATATTTATCTATACTGTCACTATATTTAGTATAGCTTCTGAAATTTCTAGAAGTTCCAGTCGAGTATAAATCTAGAAACATCCCCATTTTTCTGCATATGAAATAACCATGGATTACAGCTTTTACTCACAGTTTGCGCCTTCTCTTCATTCTTTTAATTGCTGTGTAGAAGTAGTTTGGATTATGGGAACCAGATACGAAGACAGTATTGGGCCTTTCGATAGAAAACATAACAGTGCTTGACTTAACAGTTTTATGTTCTTATTTGTGTAGTTCATATTTGTTTTTGTGGCGATCTGTACAAATAATTATGTACTTAAATAAATGTATAAAACTTGAAGGTGAGACTATAATTTATGGACGACCTTAGAGAGATGCTAAAGTGACCTTGAGAGCGTCTACCTACTTACTAGGGTTAAATAAGAGTTATAAAGCAGTCTGAAGAATAAGGATGATGATTTACAGTTGATGGCTAGGGTTAGGAATTACATTTAAGGTTTTTCATTACGAACTGACATCAGCTATAATGCCAAAACTCTATTTAACTGAATGGGTGAATGAATTTCGCGCCCAAATCTAAGACTTGTTCTCCTAAATCTGATGAGTTCATCCATAAATTATAGTCTCGCCAACTTGACTTCATCAAGAAATTGCCAGATTCATCAATTAAAGATATCAAGGTATCTTCAAACAAAATCTGAAACTTCTCTATTCGATTCAAATAAATATATTCAACTGACTTACCGCTATAGCTTTCTTGTAAACATCAGTCCAATAATATGAACGATATATTAACCTTCCCTTACCATATACACGTAAGTGTCTCATTATTATTAGTCGTAATTAATGCTGATTAAGATTTGCATAAGTTAACAACCAACTACTTGGTATAAATTTACCTACCTGTAATAGATATGAATACACATTGAATTAAGTGAATCATCATATAAATAGATCAAACCGAAAAGATTTAAAGTATAATTCTGAACATTTTAATCGAATTAGTTGACTCATATTTCAATTTGATATTATTCATTTGCTGGGTATTCAGTCAAATAATCGACATCGTGATCCTTCTGGTTTTCGTTCAATATTCAGTGGTCAGCTATAACATAGGACCAGGAATATATATGCATCGGTTCAAGTTGCCACACCCCACTCATTAGCACAACAAGATGAACACCAGATTCATAGAAGTAATCAATTCAATGATGGTAATTTATAAGAGAAAGATATAAAGCAATTTTAATCTCATAGTTTAAGGGAAGACAGAGAGTGTATACACCGACACCATTGTAATCGATTCTCAGCCATGTCACACACACACACACACACACACAGTCTCCAACCATTGGTTATGATAGTCACACGGACTCCAACACAGCAGTCTGCATCCACCATCCACATGGCTCACACCACAAGTTAGTGACTTCTTGAAATGATACCACGTTGTAGTTTGGCCACCCCTAACATTCTTCCAACAATCGCCAACACTAATCAGCGTTGCGCGTCGTTGTAATCGGTGTTCAGGCAGGCATGTACAACACGTGACCCAACCATCTCAGTCGATGAAGATTCACAACCTCGTCAACTGATTTACCATCATTCTCTAATAACCTGAGTTCAACCTCAATATTACTTGCCCGGTGATCCCAGCAGATGCAAGCAATATTCCTAAGACATCTGTAATTAAATACTAGTAGTTTACGAGTATCTTCTGCTCTTAATGGCCACGTTTTGCAGCCGTGAAGTAGAACATAACGAACTGCTGTGCAGTATACTCGTCTCTTAATTGATAGACGGATATCTCGCCTTCGCCATAGGTGACGTAAGTTGGCAAAATCCAAACGAGCTTTTTGAATCCATGCTGAGATTTCGTCAGACACTAAGCCATTAGGGTTTTATCATAACTTCCTCGAAACTGAAAGTTCTCCTTACTGACGAGTGCTCACTAGCACGGAGTTTGAGTCCAGATTTTTCTACTGACTACATCCAACCACCTAGCATCTCGAAATAGTGAATGCAATGTCAAATCACTAGTGACCACATTGTAACTTTATTAATAGAACTCGATCTACAATAAAGGTCTAGACAAACATAACACTGGTCACTTCTCAGTGAACTATAACCACGTCAACAAATTACAGTAAGGTTGTCAAGACTAACATGGAATTCAGGAAAAATTGACTACAATCCAGTCAGTATACAGTGTTTTATCCTGTACTAAAATATGTTCAGTAGTATGTAAATAATTAGAGCAATTTTTTAATTACTAGTAAGCAATTTAAAAACTATATCAAGCTACTACTGTAGTGTTCACTACTAATGTCGACAGATGTAAGTAGTATGTATCAATTGAAAGTGAAATGCTTAGAGGTAGAAGGTTAAGAAAATCGAGGAAAAGAGAATGAGATCACAGAATGATTGGTATGGAAATGAATGAACTATAAAGTCTGAGACAATTGATTGACATTTTGCAAATTAAGTATTTATGTATGGTTCTCAGATATGACTAAGATATTCTGTAATTTTGTAGTCGAATATATTTGCTTGTCCCCACTGGTGTTCTCGTTCACTAAACCACTACTAAACTACAGTTGAGTTTTTTTCAGAAAAGAATATCAGTCAACTTTTCAATATTCAAGTTTCTCAGTATACTTCTTTTACCTAATTAAATGATTTTTCCTTATCTATCAACTGAGGTTTTCGTCACCTTTGAAACCGACATTGATAGCAGAAGAATACCTGTTGGCTTATCGATTGGTCAGTTAAATACAACCAGAGGTTGCTTACACTCATATTTTAGAGAGAACAAAGACTGTTGACCGATAATAGCCTTGGTTATAGCTAGTGGACAAATATACCCAGCAGCACGTTATAGAAGTTTCTTGAAAGTAATAGTGCTATCATGATGAATTTAATTCAACATTTGCGAGTGAGAGAGAAGCCTGAGGGCTTACTATGAATCATTTTTTCCACAAATATTGATGAAATATATACAAACTCAACAGCACTTCATCAAATAGAAGAATTAATACCGACTGATGAATCAGAATGGCTATCTTTCATTCTTAAACCAGTATGTATGCCGCATTAAGTGAAAAAGAGATTAGAAGAAGTCTAGGAATTCAGTAATCTATTAAGAGTGAACCACTAGAAGTTATCGAGACATTTGTGGATTTGGGTAGTACTGTGATGGAGAGCATATTTAGACAATATTAACTGTTTTCTATTAAAACCTTTTGTAGTATATATTGTTTATCTGAGCTACCTTTATACCAGTTCGGATATTTATTTGATTTATAATGGTTGGGTAAGCAACCCTTCAGTTTATGTAGTTTTACCTGACGCAATATATACCTCGATCACTTCGAACTGTGGACTTCCGACTTAAGTGGATTACTGATTTTCGCTTTCACAAACATCATATAAATGGCGTTTAAAGATAGCATTACTTATTAATGAGATTAGCTTCTTTATTAATAGGAATCTTCTAATCGTATTACACCCAAACATTGTTAAACCCATAATATTCAATGATTCCGACAGTGAATAGATTAAATTCTGCTTGTAAATCCTGTACGCTAATATATTGTAGTACAATATTAGTAGAATACTTATAATCAGAACGTTTCTATAAACGTAGCCGAATAAAATTTCTCAAAACAAAGTTAGTCTATAGTCGCTTCAAAATAATACCTAACAAACTGAAATATTAAAAACGGATAGAGCAACTGAAAAGACGAACAAAAGTTTTTGGTAACTGCAGCAACAAGATATCATTACTTTTCTCCTGAATACTTACTGACTTGCTTACGCCTGTTAACTAGAGTGTAGGAGCATAGGCCGCCCACCAAGAAACTATATTAATTGTTGCTCTAGTTGTTAAAAGGAGCATTAGCCGAGTTGGTGGACACAGAGAGGCCACCTAGGGGAGTTGGAAAACCCTGACTCAAAACCAATGGTGCACATAGACTCCAGGACCCTAAGGAAACAAATAGCGTATGAACCAATCGTTGGTCACCGGCTACCATGGGACTGCATCTCCTGACGTTGCTCCACTGCCTTATGGATCATAGTTTAGGTCGAAGGCTCTGGGTGTGGCTGCCTAAGGAAACCACCTGCTTCGGTTTGTCACCTTAGCAGTATCTCAGCTCTCACACGAATCGAATGATTTATGTGGAGCATACCTATTTGGTGCCTCCTTGTACCAATATTTGTGTTTGAATAAATAAATAAATAAACTTTGATATTGATTGACAGTTGTTTTGGGTTCCAATAGTTCTTTGACTATAGGGATGCTGCCCTTGCTTTGCCAATCCTCGTCTTGACGTTTGCATCCGATCCTCTATACTCCTTGATGATGCTTCTCTCCATCCACCTGTTCCCCTGTCCTTGAACTTTGCCTTGCCTTCTTTATCAGTCTCTCTAGTTTACTAAATTTCCCTGCCAATTTCTTCGTCGTGTCATATAGTTGTCTCATATTTCCTCCTCTTGTAGCTATTTCCACTGTCGTTGCTAGCTCTTCCACGTATTTCTGTTTGTTAGCTCTAATGCTCCTTTTCACTTGCTTGTTTGCTTCTGTGCATTCAGCTTGTGCCTTTACTTTCTCTGTTCTTGTTCTATTGTCCTTAATTGCTGTATTCATCTCCTTCCTTTCTAGAATCTTGCCTAGTGTTTCGATGAAGATTCATTCTTTATTATGATGCCTATTTGACCCCTCTCTACTTGTCCTCCATAGCAGTTTCTTTTCCGTTAAGATCCTGTAAGGCTTGGAACCTGTTGTTGACAGTTATCTTGAATTCGTTGAGTTTGTAAGTTTCTCGTAGGAAGGCTGTATTGAACCTATGTAATGCTGTTTCCATAACTGTTCAGTGTTTCTTTTCTTCAGTTTCATCTTGGCCACCACCTGGTGGTGGTGATCTAAAGCTATGTCAACTTCCCTCCTGATTTTCACGTCTCCTGTTGACCTTGTGAATTTTTTATTAATACAAATATGATCTCTCTGTTTCTCCGTGGTGCGGTCCGGTGATACCCATGTAGCTTTGTATATGCATTTGTGTGAGAAAATTGTGCCGCCTATAACAAATTTGCTGAATGCACATAGGTTTGCAAATCTCTTCCCATTTTCGTTCCTCTCAACCAGTCTATATTGTTCCATGATATCTTCATATCTGTTGTTGTCCATTCAGACTTTGGCGTTAAGATCTCCCATCAGGATGGTCAGTTTTTTCCTGGGCACTTCTCTGTGATCGCTTGCAACCTCTCGTAGAACTGATCATTATCGTCATCATTGCTATCAGTGGTGGGTGCATAACATTGAGTAATATACATTGTAATTCCTTCCTTCTTTGTTTTGAAGGGTGCTTTGATGATCCTGGATCCCTAAGATTCCCACCTAACAAGTGCATTTCGTGCTTCTTTGGATAGCATCAGAGCAACTCCCTGAGTGTGGAGCACTCTCCTCTTCGTGACCGAAGTAAATCAGCATCTCTCCCGTACCTAAACTTTGTCGTTCAGCTTGGGTTTCGCTGATTCCGAGAACCGTCAAGTTATATCTCCTCATTTCCATTGGTTTCACTGGTCCTCTCGGTCTCCCCCATCGTCCGAACGTCCTATGTACCTATAAAAATTTTGCTCTGGTTGTTAGAAGGAACATCGAACTAGTGGCTTCAGAAGAATCCCGGATTTCATTATGCGTCATAATTCTTGTGAATGAAGATCGTTGAACTCCCAGGGCAGAGTTTAAACTATATATTCCGGTCAGTGTTTTTTAGAAAGGTTGTTTTCCACAGAATGGGATCACCGACCCCATGCCCAACCCTTCTCCTTTACCCGTGCTTGAGATCGGCAGTAATCTTAGAAGAGGTACATGCTGTATCTATAATGTCTAGACAGTCTAAAATGCGATCGACTGGCGAAAGATAAATATAGACCTTTTATATCACATAATTTGTAAATGACTTTATCCCAATCTACAATTTTGTCGATGGAACTTTTAGTTACCCATATCTGATTCTTGATGAAACTATCGGTACGTTGCCAAAAGTCACATTATTTAGCCTAACCAAATCATAACAATGAATATAAAAACCAGACTAACTCAGCGAAGACGCACTTGGTATCGAATTACTAAAAGTTACTAGTCTATGGAACTTAATATAAACACTTACTTGTCAGATTGCCTAGGTAGCATTTCTAAATAAGTTAATATATAATATAATAAATCCAACTTAGTAATCATATAACCATCAACGTATTGGGTCTTAAACCTGACTATACGAGATCTAAAGGTGCTGCTACAAATTGACCGTTATAACAAAAAAACTGGAGTAAGATCGGGGTCTGTGACGCATACTCAGAAATAATCTATAAGTTTTACACAATGGTGCTTCGATGCAGGGATTAAGTACTCTTTTTGAATTCAACGAAAGCTAGAAAATTAACGACTATCTTGACATGCTTTGAGACTACTCAGTAGTGAAAATTGACTGAATTATGGTTGTTGTCAGTTAATGACAATCAATTTGATATACTACACACCAAGTATCTAATTAGATGTGTCACATAAACTGCGGTGTGTGCTACTGATGTCGACAGATGTAAGTAGTGTGTATCATCAATTGAAAGTGGAATACCTGGAGGAAGAAAGTTAAGATCAAAGAAAAAAGAACGAGAACAAAGAATGATTGGTGTGGGAAAGACAGAACAATGAAGTCTGAGACGGCTGTCTGACATTTGCAAAAGGGACAGTCAGGTATGAGACAATTGATCGACATTTTGCAAATTAAGTATTTACTATATGGTTCTCGGATTTTATTAAGAGATTCTGTAATTTTGTGTTTAAATACATTCAATGGTCCCTACTTGTGTTCTCGTTCACTACAAAACCCAGAATAATAACCGACACGAAAACTGCAATGGTTTGGTAATAATATGCTACAAAATAATCTGTAAATTTTGTCTTGTCGTGAGTTGTACCCTTAATGGTATGAATATTGTCTTTTTGAATATTGGTAGATGAAAGGGGTTTGGGTTTCTTGAGAGAATATCAGGATAAAGGAAATAGGAGGTAGGTCAAAAATTGGATGACCCAATGAAAACTTGTTTGAATCTGTCGTATTATCATATTCAAGTTTCAGCTAAATTAACCCTAAAATTAAAGAGGTATTTTGGTAAAAGTCGAGAGTAATAAAAGCCACAGCGAAAAAATGTATCGGACCTTTTGTTAGTCAACGATTTCATTATGAATAAGACTTAATTTGCTAAACTCTGATGGATGTGTTAATCACTTTAAGGATCACACACTAAAAGGCATTTTACTATTTTATGAACGAATCTATATCCATAGTGAGGTTTCCTTGGATGTTATTGTAGTGAGTTATATGCACTTTAAAATGTATAGGGTAGCAGTTATTGTGTCATTACTATACCCGATAGGCTTTTTAGCATTTATTAATAAGTTTCAGCCATAACTTTAGTTACGTAAACTCAGTACTAGGATTATTATTATTATTATCATCATTATTATTAATGGCTTTATTCAATTGCACAGTTTCAGTTAAAGCCACCTAAGACTTTAGGGATTTTTGGCTCAATAAGATACTAGCTATGGGTAAATTCTTCGATTCACAATTTGCCGCTAGTCAATGAGAATAATTTTACTTCCAGTCACGTTTTCCGTATAAGGTTTAGTGATACTACTGAAGTAAGTAGGCTCGAGTCTGGAACCTACTGGTTGAAAATAGTAAAAATATCATATTTCTAACATACCACTGGGCATAAAAACTAAATTTCCTGGTATGATAATGGTGTGATGTGAATAGCATCAGACATAGCTCGGATAGATGATTCAAGTCAAATGGATAGTAATGGCTTTAATTCTATTAATGGGAGTAGGATTTAGCAATATATGGAAAGGTTTAGCTATTCGCCTTTCTTTGTAGTTGCGAAAGCTTTTTTGTATTATCTTGATATTTTTAGTATCGATTTGATGGTTACTGAAGATGCCCTCCACTTTTCTGGTTGATCTAATTTGGGGCCTTTTAGGTTCTACAGGATTATCAGATTGTGGAGATAAGTCTGACAAGCTTATCTTGTAAATAGTTTTTAATATTATTTGTATTTATTTCTTTTTTGTGAGAGAAGCAGTGTATGTGTTAACCAGCAACGATATGTCACGCTATGTAGTATCACAACGGAAAAGGTCTCCAAGGTCATTTACTTAAACAACAGGTACAATCATTTAATGATAAATGTACATGCAGTGAGAAATTGACAAAATAAATACAAATAATATTAAAAACTATTTACAAGATAAGCTTGTCAGACTTATCTCCACAAGATGATTTATTTGTGCAGCTTTGCTGTTCTTTAACATGAGTTAGGATTTCACCTGATGAAACTCCAACATACAAAGCAACATAATCAAAATACTCGAATTTGTAGACACAGTTACGAGTCATAAAAAGAATCATATCCTTTATACGAAACAAAGCATCTCAAAAAGTATCAGTTGTTTTGTAGTATGCTATAATTCCATGTTATTTTGGGATTCTTTGAGGTTCTTCAGTTGTACCATAGCGGTATGGTAGAACTAAGGTATCAATCCATGGTAAACCACTGATAAAGTCTAGGCATTTATCATTGAGTCCTGCGGATAGATGCTTAAAGGTTGTGTCATAATTTTTTATGTTCATGACTACTATTGTAATTACAATAGTTTTGTCCTTGATTGTAACTTACCTGTTCATGTCAAATATTTTGCCTATGATATTACACGAGGAATTTGGCTCAAATATGTTGACGATACTTTTGCTATCATCGAAAAGTTATTCCTAAGAACTCCAAAAAACCAAAACAAAACAGAATTAAAACAAACAACACAGCTGATGCACTTTGAAATGCATTAGTGCTTTTATTGAATAAGATCCCCTTTATATCAAAACTAAACCGTATCTACAGATTAGTGTGTCGATTGTTTTGAACATTCTATACATTTTAATCGAATTAGTTGACTCATATTTCAATTTGATATTATTCATTTGCTGGGTATTCAGTCAAATAATCGACATCGTGATCCTTCTGGTTTTCGTTCAATATTCAGTGGTCAGCTATAACATAGGACCAGGAACATATATGCATCGGTTCAAGTTGACACACCCCACTCATTAGCACAACAGGATGAACACCAGATTCATAGAAGTAATCAATTCAATGATGGTAATTTATAAGAGAAAGATATTAAGCGATTTTAATCTCATAGTTTAAGGGAAGACAGAGAGTGTATACACCGACACCATTGTAATCGATTATCAGCCATGTCACACACACACACACACAGTCTCCAACCAATGGTTATGATAGTCACACGGACTCCAACACAGCAGTCTGCATCCACCATCCACATGACTCACACCTGTGGCAAGCATATTTGGCTACTGTATCATTTATCTAGTCATTGTAACTCAGACTCAATTCACTATGTTAATTTCCGTGTGTATGATCGAATGCATGTCTGTACATTAACTCTTAAGCTATCTTCCTATTGGTTTCAATGTGCAGATAATCGATAATCTATCCACACCCGATTAACTCTCAAATATATATGGATTTTTAACAGACTCACTCACTCACTCACTCACTCACTCACTCACTCACTCACTCACTCACTCACTCACTCACTCACTCACTCACTCACTCACTCACTCACTCACTCACTCACTGTTTCATCGTGTGCTTGCTCACCGTACGCTTGTGGATTATTATTATTCATTAACAATAAACTATCTCTATAACTGGTATTCAGGCTTTTCAATAATCTCGAGTAAATTCGCAATTCTACTAGGAGATTAAGCCTACCAAAAATACTCAGTTACAGGATATTATTATTTGGAGTCAGATATTGAGGATATTAGCCTCAACACACCACAAGTTAGTGACTTCTTGAAATGATACCACGTCGTGGTTTGGCCACCCCTAACATTCTTCCAACAATCCCCAACACTAATCAGCGTTGCGCGTCGTTGTAATCGGTGTTCAGGCAGGCATGCACAACACGTGACCCAACCATCTCAGTCGATGAAGATTCACAACCTCGTCAACTGATTTACCATCATTCTCTAATAACCTGAGTCCAACCTCAATATTACTTGCCCGGTGATCCCAGCAGATGCAAGCAATATTCCTAAGACATCTGTAATTAAATACTAGTAGTTTACGAGTATCTTCTGCTATTAATGGCCACGTTTTGCAGCCGTGAAGTAGAACATAACGAACTGCTGTGCAGTATACTCGTCCCTTAATTGATAGACGGATATCTCGAATAGACAGGATGACAAACTATTTGTGTATATATATGAAGAAACACCACAACGTACGGTATGGGGCAAGATAAAGGAAATTAATCTGAGACAATCTCACTAAAACTAAGTAACTATGCAATCATATTACATAAGGTATAAAAGAAAAATAACATTTTTATAACGAAAGATCGTATTTCTCGAAATATACATATGTACAAGACAAGGAAATATATTTTTTTTAAAGTGCACGACACAGTTTAAATACATTGAATATATATATATATATATATATATATATATATATAGGAGAGAGAGAGTGAGACAAGTTAAGAATCATGATACAGTTTGTTCATTTCCTCCACCTCCTCGACCAAGCATACCTAAAAGGAGGTAAAGAAATATGAATATAAGACAACCTTCCGATTGCATTTTCATAAAATATATATGACGTACAAACACGAGTAATCCGAATCGCTACTCACTGATGAAATAAACTATTTCTTTATAATCCACTTGGTAAGTATACAAATATATGTAAATGGTGGAGTTACAGTTTAGTTGTACAAAGGTAAGTGGAGTGAGATTCAAACTTGAGAACTAGCGGTTGCTAGTCGGAAGAATAAACTATTTCAGAAAATTGAATTAGTTTACGAGTAAATTTGTTTAAGAATAATAATATCACCTGACGATTTTATGTAAGCATGTGAGAGTTGGGTGAAAGTTTCAACTATTTATCTAAGAATCCTTGACAGCGCGCTAGCAGGCTGGGTGAGTGGGTCTAGACATATTACTTCCCTATGTCTCAAAGCTAAGAGGTACGTGAGAAGTCATAAGCGAGGCACGCCATTAAGGGATAGTGATTGTGCTTCTAGTCAAGGTCTTATGCTGGATATTCTTATCTGAGTTAGAAGGACACATGCATTAATACCAATAGCTATCGAACAAGTTTATTCAGTTTTTGTCCATTAAATCATCCTAGTCATTTCAGTCTCCTCACTTGCATAGCTTGTTGGGTAATTGTATGGGAAGCGTGTTTATCTGAATTGAATGTCCATGATCATAACACAAACACTTGACCCTATTTACAGAACAACTTACAAATCTTAAAGTTTCAGTGATAGTGTTATTATTGATGATACATCTGTCAATATCTAGATACTGATAGACAACAGTGAGACCAACACTTGACCAGTTACCGGAAATCTACTCATTTTTTTTTAGATACAAGCGACCCGTTCTATATGAGGCAATGGCAACCGTTAATGCAGAAAACTGTAACACCTGGAACATGTGAACGTTTTGGAATCAATCCACTTTTTTGCCAGCTGAATCTATTTTTTGTCCATAGGAAATCACGTTTAAAATATTAACCGATTATTTAACTGACCAGGACGAAATTTTCGACGTATATCAACATTGATTTTATGGGAAAAATTTTTTACCAAGATGAACAGTGAGATAAATGCATCATCATGAGAGTGGGATTTATCAACAACTTTGAAAAGTTGAGAAATTTAAGAAAATTTCAAACTTAAACTACATAGCAGTTTAAAAATCCCCATAGAATATTCAAAAACGAAGAATATTTGAGCGAACAATTGTTTTCAATAACTTCATCATCAGGCTCTACAGTTAAACTACATACTGTGATTTTTCCAACAAAGCATACTATCCTATTGTGAAAAGATAGCATCATATATCTTACGTCAAATTATGGATATTGAGTTGGGATATATGGTGTCATATTACATTATACACCCTATAAGTAAACTTACATATGCAATCTGAATGCTCATAATGAAGAGAAAAGTGTACTATATCCGTACTAAAAAGTATTGAAACAAACAATACGTACATTATAAGCAAAGATGGATAGTGGCTAGCAGTGGAATCCAGGACGCACGTTTCGTCTTATCTGGGACTCGTCAGTTGAATGTACTTGCATCCCAGAGTTGATGTTCACTCTGGGACTCGAATACAGTACCGTTCGCTCCAAACGCCATCTTTGCTTATAATGCTTGTGAATTAAGGCAATATCGAGGCAATACGCACAGTACGCACATATGCAAATTGCAGTCCTAAACAGTGATGGGAAGATTCAAATAAATAATACCAAGTGAATTTAAATAATACGTACCTTCTTAATTTATAAAACTAGAGACAAAAATAATATGGGAGAAAGTTATGTTTTCTTCACCTTCATATATTTTACTCAAATGTATACGTATACACAACTATAAATTAAGTAGTATATATTTTGATAATCCACCACGTATTCGAATGAATATGTTCAATTAATTTAAACAATAAATTAGTCACAGCGAATCCAACCTATTATACAATAACAAGAGATTGAACTAACCAACTTATGATACTTTATGTGATTTTAAATGACCTACTTACATCACAACTATGTAATTCTTGAAACATGTTAAGAATGAACTATCTGACATTTGAGAAGAAAAATACCTATGAAGTAATCTACATTACGTATTCAAAAAACTCGGACATATACTTTTTCAAAGGTATTAATAAGCTACACTATTAATTTGAATCGGAATACAATAAAAAATTAAGTCTCAGATTATTTTCAAGTGAAAATTTTTGTGTTCATCTAGTTGTTGATCAGTCTACTAGTTAACAGAATCATAAAAATTACCTCATCAAATGTAACGGATCAATAGGTTTGGTTGACTAGATCTATCTGAATATTTTCTCACGAAGACCTTTCAATTTTCCTGGGTCTATAACGAAAGGTGAATTTAATCAAACTGCTATTTGTATATGTGATCAAAAAATACGGTACTCACTAATTATATTATTTACTAAACCTGTGTCATTTTTTGTATCCCTTCCTTACAAACGTGTGCTTTGAATTCGTTCACATTGAAATGTGTAGCGTATATACTTATATTTCAGATCCATTTATGATTTTCCATTGTGAATTTGTGAACTAGGTTAGTTGACAAATAATGATATCTAATGATTTATTATTAATTTAAACACATAAATATTGGTACAAGGAGGCACCAAATAGGTATGCTCCACATAAATCATTCGATTCGTGTGAGAGCTGAGATACTGCTAAGGTGACAAACCGAAGCAGGTGGTTTCCTTAGGCAGCCACACCCAGAGCCTTCGACCTAAACTATGATCCATAAGGCAGTGGAGCAACGTCAGGAGATGCAGTCCCATGGTAGCCGGTGACCAACGATTGGTTCATACGCTATTTGTTTCCTTAGGGTCCTGGAGTCTATGTGCACCATTGGTTTTGAGTCAGGGTTTTCCAACTCCCCTAGGTGGACTCTCTGTGTCCAACAACCCGGTTAAAGCTCTGGTCAGTAGATTTTTGTCTTCCCAATTTCGTAAACAACACCCTCACCACGAGAAGGCAGTGAGTAGGACTTCCCTGACAGTACTTGTATGCAAGTGGCCATGTGGGAGTATTTCGAGAGAGAGAGCTGACTCTCCACACTTTTGCCCGTACCAGAGTATTTGGGGGGTAATGAAAATATACACTAATTTTCGAAAATCGATCATTTTTCCGTTCATGTATGTCTTATTAGATAAAATATCAAAATAATAATGTGTCAAAACGACCAATTTATTTACAAAAAAAATATCTTTATCAATGTTTTTCTGTTTACAGTCGGTAAATGACTAATAACAGTATATTTTAATTATTATTGAAGTGATTGGTTTAAAAGCTGATCCAGCTCTAATTTAGACACTCAAATAGCAGGTATCATTAGACCTTACATAAAAGTATGGCTTTAAGTTGAATATACCAACTTGTAATTGGTTACTGAGATAGATCTCATTAAAACACATGGTTAGTAATCATTTCCTATTATATGACAGCTCAGTGGAGTAATGGTTGAATCAGACATATGGTTACTTAAATCCACCGAACATAATATGCGAAGTACGTACAATACTAAATAAAGTGAAACTACTATAAAATTTATTTCGATATCTGCAAACACACTCGTCCGAAAATGTTGTCCTTATGTAAAAATTCTCAACACCTTAAAGTTAGATAGGATTTGTGCGATGCTGATAGATGACTATTCAATTCCCGACCGAAGCTGCTACCTTGACGTGGTGGTCGGGCTTGCCTATCGTGATGACCCAACCGAGCTATATTGGCTGGAACATATGTTCCTGTAGGTTCTACCATGCCAGGCAGGTCGATTGGTGAACGGTAAGACTAAAAGCAGCAACTCAAGGTCTGAGGGCGAAATCGTACTGCTGACTGTAGAGAGGTGTGACAGCAGTGAGGTGTTTCCCTCGGACAACCAGCATGACAGCGATGCTGCCTTCCCCCAAGGAGGGGTGGGGGTAGAAAAGGTCAACCCTAAAAATGCACACCTCACCTTACCTCACGGATTTCCGTCTCCGGCGGTAAGGCCCTTTGAAGAACGGAGCTAAAATGTCAAAAACCTTCCACAGAAAGACCGTGCGCGACCGGCCTCAAGCAGTTGTTCCTTGGGCTCTGTGGTCACGCTCCCAGGTCGTTAAGACCAACACTAATCCAATTTCCTTTTCAGGTTCCTCAAGAAATACCCTTCCACGGTGTGGGCAGCCGGGAAGTGACATCAGCCCTCATACCCGTAACAGCACAAGAGACCAAGTTGGTCACATTCAAATCCTCCCTACACCCCATAATATCTTTCTTATCTCCATGACTAACCCTCCTCACGTCTCTTTATCACCTCGCACCGCTAGGGCAAACGATTCGGGTTCGTGGAACGCTATTCCTGGTCTCCTGAAACCACGCTCTAAACTACACGTAGGAGCTTTTAACGTACGAACACTGTGCCAAATAGGACAGCAGGCTTCCTTAGCTAGGACTTTAGAATCTCGCGCCATCGATGTGTGCTGCGTCTCCGAAACGCGCATACAGGATCCAAGTAGCGTCATTCATTTGACCTCACCATGCCAAAATAAAGAACCGACTCGATTTACGCTTCGTGTATCTGGAAGCCCTGATTCTGCTTCCCGTGGCCTCGCCGGCGTAGGTATAGCATTGAGCTCTAGGGCAGAACTAGCTCTCTTAGAGTGGATCCCAGTAGACAGTCGTTTGTGCGCTGTCCGACTGAACGGAACAGTAAGAATCCGGAAAGATAGGGACACTCGTCGTTGCCTCTTCGTCGTCTCTGCCTATTCTCCCACTGACTACAGCCCAGATGATGTAAAAGACGAGTTTTACAGAAAGCTTTCGGACCTTCTCCGAAAAGCTAAGCGCTCGGATGTAGTAATAGTGGCTGGTGACTTTAATGCTCAAGTAGGTAAACTAAGCTATAGGGAAAGACACCTAGGTGGATCTTATGGTGTCGTGGCTCAAAGAACAGATAATGGCGACCGTCTGTTGCAGCTATGCTCAGATAACCGCCTGTTCCTTGCAAATACTAACTTTAAGCATAAAGAAAAACATCTTTTAACATGGCGACCCCCTAATTCGTCCCAACGTTGGACCCAAATAGATCACATCGCTATCAGCCACCGATGAAGGGGCTCGATAGAAGACTGTCGCTCATTCTGGAGCACATGCTTAGATTCAGATCATGCTCTAGTGCGAGCGCGTATTTGCTTGCGTCTTACTGGACGTAGAAAAGACGCTGCAAGGAAACCTCTTAGGGGCCTACTTAATGATAGTCAAGCTAGGAGTATATTTCAGGAACAACTAGGAAAACCGTTAGGCAGCCATGTATGTGATGCCCACCCCGATGCAGCATGGAATGATATCCGAAAAGCTGTGGAAACAGCAGTGATATCTGCTAGTAAGGTAAATCAGAAGGTTAGGGAGCAACGCTGGATCTCAACAGCATCTATCTCACCGATAGATGCTCGGAAACTCATTCCACCCGGCTCTGAACATAATGAAGAGCGGAGTCAGCTTAAGCGCAAGCTGACAAGAAGTCTAAGCAATGATCGCGAACAGTGGTGGGTAGCGAAAGCAAGAGAGATGGAAAAGGCAGCGGCAATAGGTAATAGCAGACAATTGTTCAGACTCGTTAAGGAAACCGGAATTAGGAACCCGACCGTTAGCGAAAAAATCTCAGAAAAAGATGGACATATTATTCATTCTCAATCCAGGAGATTGGATCGATGGGCAGAACACTTTAAGGATCAGTTCAACTGGCCTTCAGCCACACTTCGGTTTCCCACGATCTCTAGTCAACCTGAATGGCAAGTTAATGTAGGTCCTCCGTCCCTTTATGAAGTTGAAAAAGCCATAGGAAATCTGAAACGAGGGAGAGCAGCAGGCCCTGACAGGTTTACTCCTGAGATTTTTAAGGATGGTGGTTCAGTATTAGCAGTGAGATTAACTGAGGTCTTAGGTAGAATTTGGGAACTGAACGTAATCCCATCTGGCTGGTCTCGATCACTGATTGTGCCAGTCTACAAGAAAGGACAAAAGTCCTCTTGTGACAATCACAGAGGAATCAGTTTGACTAATATAGTGTCTAAAATATTAGCTTCAATAATACTTCGACGCCTAACCGAAGCTCGTGAAGAACAGACTAGAGAAAATCAGGCTGGTTTTCGACCTGGACGTGGATGTATAGGTCAGATATTCACACTACGTCAAGTTCTAGAACACAGACACACGTTCAGATGCCCCACAATGGTAGTATTTCTCGACCCTAAGGCAGCATTCGACTCTGTTGATCATGAGGTTTTATGGCAGTGTTTGTCACTGAAAGGAGTACCAAAGAAGTACATTAACCTTGTAAAGGCTCTCTACTCGAACACAACTGGTAGAGTGAGAGCTTATGGCGAACTGTCATCAGAATTGATTACCTCAAGTGTTGTTCGTCAGGGCTGTCCACTCTCTCCATTCTTGTTCAACTTTGTCGTCGACGTACTTTTATAGATAACACTTTCCTCGTCTATATTTCCAGGGGTTGGACTTCTACCGGGAGGTTCACTTGTTGACTTAGAATATGCTGATGACATAGTTTTATTTGGTGAAGACGCTGACAAAATGCAGTCTTTTGATCACTCTAAGCAACAATGCAAGCATGTTCGGGATGCGATTCTCTCCCTCGAAATGCAAAATGTTGCTTCAGGATTGCGTTACGTCGACACCCGAACTAGTGATAGGGAGTGAAGTAGTTGAGCGTGTCGATCGCCACACTTATCTTGGAAGTCTCATCAGCCCTTGTGGTTTGGTGTGTGACGAAATCTCAGCACGGATACAGAAGGCTCGACTAGCTTTCGTCAACTTGCGTCATTTATGGCGTAGGCGAGATATCCGTCAACCAACCAAAAGACGTGTTTACTGCGCAGCAGTTCGTTCCGTCCTACTTTATGGCAGTGAAACATGGCCGGTAAGAGTAGAGGATATCCGTAGGTTACTAGTATTCGATCATAGGTGTCTTCGAAACATTGCTCGTATATCATGGGACCATCGAGTAAGTAACACAGTTGTTAGGAAACGGGTACTAGGTAAGGATGGCAAATCAATTGATGACGTAGTGAAACTTCATCAGTTGAGATGGCTGGGACACGTGTTACGTATGCCCAACGACCGACTGCCTCGACGTGCTATGTTCAGTGGTATAGGAGTTGGTTGGAAGAAAGATAGGGGCGGCCAGACCAAAACATGGCACAAGTCCATGAAGTCACTGACAAGTGAACTGAGTCATGTTGGTAGGTGTAGACTACCTGGTTGGGGACCACGAGATGATAGCAACCGATGGTTAGAGAGCCTGAATGACATGGATCAAAATCGTTTGCAATGGCACAGGTGCATTCACTCTCTGTGTTCTCCCAAACTCTAATCTTCTGAATTCTTCCCGATTACTGCTTATACTCTTATTACCTCTACCACTACGGGATTTGAATAGACAATTGTATCTGTGTGCTAATATGGTATGACAACTCGAACTGATGTACGTACGTACGAAGTTCTACGTTGTTACTGACTGACTATTCAATTACAACAATGCACCTGCACATTCGTAAGTGATTGTTCGTGAGTTGCTGTCCAATAATTGATTCAATTCATCACGTCAGATAATCTTTATTACTAGCTAGACTGAGTTCCGTGTGATTTCTTTTGATCCACGAAATTCAAAATGGTTATGTGAGAGCAACAATGGTATGATACGAACAATAAAGTGTGAAAGACGATGTAACAGAAATGTATGGCTTTTAAGTTGCTCCAGAGATGTTTTCAACAATTTAGACGAATATGGGATAAGTATACTGTCACAAATGGAGAGTATTCTGAACGGTATACGATTAGCATAACCCAAATTTTCGTGACCTTAGTTCGGTTATTAAGTAGGTATGTTGTGTAAATTAAAGAACAATTACATTATTTATACACTAATTCCAATTCATATGAACGATTTTCAAATACCGTTTGTGGAAAATGAGAATTCTAATTCAGAACATGTTTTCAAATGAGTCAGATTGGAACATACAAGTGTTGGGTTTACTTTTATTCACGATTCAAATCGGTAGTGAAAAGAGTGTGAGAGTTGACGCATGAGACTCGGTAAATTCAATAAATAGTAAACTGAGAGACGATACATCAGGTGACAGAAACAATAGCTTGACTACCTGATAAATGTAAATAATGTTTAACATTTAATAATGAGAATACCAGGAACGATTGGAAACGAATTCATTAAAAATAATCGACTCCATATATTTTGTAATGTGAAAAATTAAAATCAGTAATACCTCGAAAATCGATAGGAATAGTCCCAGTACGTTCCATTTCTAAAATGTGCTGATGGATTTCACGTAAACGTTTCTCATAATCCATATTTGTCCATACAGATACCAAAAGAACAGCTCTTCCAGCTATATGAGTGACCACTGTCATTAAATCACCTTTTGAAGATAATCGGAATTGATATCGTCGACCATCAATCAAAATTTCCTCGAAATGATAAATATTATAATGATCTAGATTGATATACTGGAACTTGTCTGAGAAGACTTCTTGGAGAGTATCAGCTTTAGCTTCAGGTAACTCAACTGACATGACCAATCTTAAACAAAAATTTACACAAAAGTTCGCAATTTTTAAAAGGATTCATTATTCACCGGTAGCAAAAGCAACTACCATACGACAGTAATAATTTAATAAATTGGATGGAGCGGGCTATTTTACAGTGTTACGACAGCGTCATCCATTTTACAAACATCTAGTCAACTTTTTCGAAGAGTTGAAATAATAAGTTATCATTCGATCTAGAAGTTTTTAATTTGGTTAAGTTGGTCGCTCTTGACTCTCCATGGAGTTCAGAACACTTGTAAAAATTTTAAATAAGCAAGCACGTTGATGCGTTTGTGTACTGTGCTAATAATTCGGGACTCCAACTTCAATACCGTGAACAAAATGACTTTAATTCTCTTCTTTCTCCTCCCCACTAAGTAAAAATACAAGTTCTACAGATGAAGTTTTTGATCTTGAACTAGTTGCATGCCAAGAAAAAATGAACAGAATATTTAAAGTATTTGTCATTGACACAAACCATTGTAAAGGTATTGAAATTCCATGTATGATGTTCACACTAAATAATTTGCTGTAACACAATTCCGATCTAGTTGATATTGATTTACTTCTTATAGGTTGTGGTTTGAGATTGTACATCGTCAACACATATACGATATAGGACCAGTTTAAGTTGGGACTTCAAATCAGCCATAAACAACTGTTATTGTTCATAAACCTTAAAATAAACCTATAAACTGAATGAAATCTATATATGTATTGTTCTTCAATGAACAACCCACTGTAGCCACTATATTGACGTTGTAGTGAGGCTTGCCTATCGTAGTGACCCAATCGAGCTATATTGTGTGGAACAGTTACTTCTTAAGGTCCTACCGCATCAAGTAGGTTGGTTGGGAAACAGTAAGTCTAAAAGCGGCAAACCTATGGTTCGAAGAGGTCGTGCTGCCGACTGTGCTGAGGTGTGACGATAGTAAGTTGTTTCCTTTAGACAACCAGCACTTAGAGTGATGCTGCCTTCTCACAACGAAATGAATGGCTTGGGAAAGGTCGGTCCTAAAAAGACCCAGCTTACCTCACTACACAACTCTTCGACTCCGAACGCAAGATCTTTTGGAGTACAGAGCTAACACATCATAAGCTTCTCACCACCTACACTCCTCTCTAATGACTCAATCCTCATGCGCCACTAATGCTAACTATGCGAGTACAAAAAATGTTACTTTCAGTCTCTTAAAAAAGCGCTCTAAACGACGTGCTGCATCGCTTTATGTTTGAAACTTACGTCAAGTGGCTCAAAATGCGGCATTGATTTATCTAACTTCACTTCTTTTGCATCTATAACAATCTCTACTAGTCTCGTAACTTTCTCTGTGCTAATGTGGTGTGGCAACTCGAACTGATGTACGTACGTACGTACGAAGTTCTACGTTGTTACTGACTGACTGACTCGTAACTTAAACCTAAAGGTTAGGAAAAATCAGTGGATTTTGGCGGGATCTACTAAACCGATATACGCTCGGTAAATCACCTCGTCCAGCTTCGAACACGATGAGAAACAGAGGCAGCTTAGACTTAGGGTGACAAAAAAACCTACCCAATGATCGTGGGGAGCGGTCAGTAGCGAAGGCAGTAGAGATGCTAGGTAGCGGTGATAGGTTAAAATAGTTAACTGTTAAGGTTTATCATGCAAACGGGCCCGACCGTTGTTGCTACCTCCCGACCGTTGTTGCTACCTTGACGTGGTGGTCGGGCTTGCCTATCGTGATGAAGCAACCGAGCTATACTGGCTGGAACAACCGTTCCTCAAGGTCCTACCATGTCAGACAGGTCGGTTGAAGAGCGGTAAGCCTAAAAGCAACAAACCCAAGGTCCGAAGGCGAAGTAGTACTGCTGACTGTACAGAGGTGTGACAGCAGTAAGGTGTTTCCTTCAGACAACCAGCATGACAGCGATGCTGCCTTCCCACAAGGAGGGGTGGGGTTCAGTCAGTCAGTCAGTCAGTAACAACGTAGAACTTCGTACGTACGTACATCAGTTCGAGTTGCCACACCACATTAGCACAGAGATGCACTTGTCGATTCAAATCCGGTAGTGGTAGAGGTAATAAGAGTATAAGCAGTAATCGGGAAGATTAGGGTTTGGAGATGTTATTTAAAGAGTATAATCCAGTGAAAGAAATTTGGAAAGAGGAAAAAAGGGACATGAAGAATTCAGAAGATTAGAGTTTGGGAGAACACAGAGAGTGGATGCACCTGCGCCATTGCAAACGATTTTGATCCATGTCATTCAGGCTCTCTAACCATCGGTTGCTGTCATCTCGCGGTCCCCAACCAGGTAGTCTACATCTGCCAAAATGACTCAGTTCACTTGTCAGTGACTTCATGGACTTGTGCCATGTTTTGGTTTGGCCGCCCCTATCTTTCTTCCAACCTACTCCTATACCACTGAACATAGCACGTCGAGGCAGTCGGTCGTTGGGCATACGTAACACGTGTCCCAGCCATCTCAACTGATGAAGTTTCACTACGTCATCAATTGATTTGCCATCTTTACCTAGTACCCGTTTCCTAACAACTGTGTTACTTACTCGATGGTCCCATGATATACGAGCAATGTTTCGAAAACACCTATGATCAAATACTAGTAACCTACGGATATCCTCTACTCTTACCGGCCATGTTTCACTGCCATAAAGTAGGACGGAACGAACTGCTGCGCAGTAAACACGTCCTTTGGTTGATAGACGGATATCTCGCCTACGCCATAAATGACGCAGGTTGGCAAAAGCTAGTCGAGCCTTCTGTATCCGTGCTGAGATTTCGTCACACACCAAACCACAAGGGCTGATGAGACTTCCAAGATAAGTGAAGCGGTCGACACACTCAACTACTTCACTCCCTATCACTAGTTCGGGTGTCGATGTAACCCAATCCTGAAGCAACATTTTGCATTTCGAGGGAGAGAATCGCATCCCGAACATGCTTGCATTGTTGCAGCGATGCTGCCTTCCCACAAGGAGGGGTGGGGTTAGAAAAGGTCGACCCTAAAAATGCACACCTCACCTTACCTCACGGATTTCCGTCTCCGGCGGTAAGGCCCTTTGAAGAACGGAGCTAACACGTCGAAAACCTCCCACAAAAAGGCCGTGCGCGACCGGCCTCAAGCAGTTGTTCCTTGGGCACTGCGGTCACGCTCTCAGGTCACTGAGACCACCTCTAATCCAATTTCCTTTTCAGGTACCTCCAGAAGAACCCTTCCACGGTGTGGGCAACCGGGAAGTGATAACCGCCCTCATACCTCTAACAGCACCCAAGACCACTGTATTCATAATCAACCTTCCTCTTCAATTCCTATTATTCCTCCTACATCGACTTTCAACCCTAAACTTCCTCCTTCGGCTTCCTCCTCAAGTGTCACCATAGCCAACGATTCTAGTGCTCAAAACTCTGTCCCAGGTCTACTGAAACCTCGCTCCAAACTACACATTGGAGCTTTCAACGTACGAACCCTATGTCAAATCGGTCAGCAGGCTTCCTTGGCTAAAACCCTAGAGTCTCTTTCCATTGATGTATGCTGTGTCTCTGAAACACGCATACAGGATCCCAGTGTGGTCATTCACTTGACCTCACCTCGGCAAAACGGAGAGCCAACGAGATACACCCTCCGTGTATCTGGTGACCCGATGGCCAGTTCTCGTGGACTGGCAGGTGTAGGCATAGCACTAAGCATGAGGGCCGAACAAGCACTGCTAGAGTGGATCCCCGTCAACAGTCGTCTATGTGCTGTTCGGCTGAACGGCTACGTAAGAACTCGGAAGGATAGGGACACACGTCGTTGCCTTTTTGTCGTTTCTGTCTACGCTCCCACTGACTGCAGCTCAGATGAAGTGAAAGATGAATTTTACAGAAAGCTTTCTGAACTTCTTCAGAAAGCTAAACGCTCAGACATAGTACTCGTAGCAGGTGATTTTAATGCTCAGATAGGTAGCTTAAACCAAACAGAAAGGCATTTAGGTGGATATTTTAGTATTCCGACACAGCGAACAGATAATGGTGATCGTCTGCTGCAGCTGTGCTCAGACAATCGTTTATTCTTAGCAAACACAAATTTTAAGCATAAGGAGAGACATCGTCTAACATGGCGACCCCCTACACCAAACCAACGATGGACTCAAATAGACCATATTGCCATCAGTCATCGTTGGAGAGGGTCGGTAGAAGATTGTCGCTCATTCTGGGGTACCTGCTTGGACTCCGACCATCCCCTAATACGGGCACGCATCTGCTTGCGCCTCACTGGACGCAAAAAAGCCACATTAAAAAGACCCGTTAGAACTGAGTTGAGTAACGAGAAAACCAAAAGTAGGTTCCAGGAACAACTGAGGTCACACTTAGGTAATTGTGAAGACGAGGCTGACCCAGATGTTGCTTGGAAGGGCATACAATCAGCTGTGGAAACAGCAGTGACATCTATTAGTGACTTAAACCACAGAGTTGCAAGGAACCAGTGGATTTCTTCAAGGTCTGTCACACTGATGGATTCTCGCAAACTCGTCCCATCAGGTTCTGAACATGATGAAGAGCGAAAACAAATCAGATCTAGGTTAAGAAAAAGTCTAAGGAACGACCGTGAGCAGTGGTGGGTAACGAAAGCAAAAGAGATGGAAAAGGCGGCGACTATAGGGAACACAAGACAGCTTTACAGACTAATAAAAGAAACTGGAATTAATAAGTCAAGTGTAAGTGAGATTATTTCGGAAAAAGATGATACTCTCATCTGCTCCCAGTCCAGACGTTTAGAACGATGGGCGGAACATTTTAGAGAACAGTTCAGCTGGCCTTCAGCTACTCTACAACTACCCTCCATTTCCAGACAATGTGAATGGAACATTGAAGTAGGTCCTCCAACTCTTGCTGAAGTTCAAAAGGCTATAGTTAATCTGAAACGAGGAAGGGCAGCTGGTCCAGATGGATTGGCTCCAGAGGTCTTTAAGGATGGTGGTCCAATTTTAGCGATTAGGTTGACTAATAT